TTCCTATTCTTCGTAATATGGTTCCTCAGCTTGAACTTGCTGATCCTGAATATAGCTAACGTTAAATCCACGGTTAATCGACAACCACTTACTCATATTAAGGTCCGCATTTTTCGGCTTATTCTTATTCCTAGTTTCTATGCGAAGGGCTTCCTTGTAAGCCTCCTCAAGAGACTTCAGCTGCTTAATATCGACTAAGTCCCCGATTTCTTTTGGGAGCCCATCAATAAAGATTTTAATTGTGGAATTCTTTATCGGAGTCATCATAACATCGCTATATTCAACTCCGAGTTCTTCTTTCAGCGCATTCTGTGCGTAGTTTAGTAAGATATTGATACGGTTGTGAAAATCTCCGACAGTGTCCCCATTTTTCATTCGTAAACTATGAATCTTCGAATTATAATAAGAGAAGTCCTTGCACGGGGCTAAACGCTCCTTGAGTACTTTAATTAGTCCCTCGGCAGCATTTACGGTTTTACCGTAAATGCAATCTCTCGCTGGTCCCCTTAATTTCGCTATAATCAAGCGAATAAAATTCGCTTCTTGGGTTTCAGCTATAAGTGCCTTTCCGTTACGGATGTCCTGAATAAAGTCTTTTAGGGGAACATTTTTCCCATCAAATTCCGTGATACCTTGCACAATATTTTGCAAAGTAAAACTTGCTAACATACTAGTTAGAAGATTTAAAGTCGCTTGTTCAGTCGCCATGGTAGAAAGACTTTATTGTTTCTTGGAGTCAGGTGGTAAGAGACAAAAATACACGAGAAAGAAAAAAAATAAATAAATAAGACGCGATGACTAAATCACAAGCAAAATGATTATATAATATAAAAGTAAATCACAATTATTATTGCTAAGGGGGAAAACAAAATTCGATTAAGGATGATAATAATACTCAAATAAAATTTACACAAAGTAAAAAAAAAGGAGTAAACTCAAATCCACAAGTCCAAAATTACCGTAATTTGAATCGTTATTTTCATCTGACCTCCCCTACAGGAGTGAATAATATAAATTTCTAGCGAAGTATAAGACAATAAAACTGACTAAAGTTGCAAATAAAAATTCTATCGGTCGCTCCCCATTAGATAAAAGTGTCGGATTCCTACTAATCCCATCCAAACCTTTCACTAATCCTTATCATTTAAAAGAAATAAGAGAAGAGTGAAATTAGTTAGTCCAAACCACTTATCAACAAAAAGAGGAAAATAGAAAAAAAAACTTCACCTTCATGAAAGGATTAAAACAAAAGTACTTAGCGAAAGTAATTAATTCAATTAAAACTAAATAATAGATAGGTGGCCACAAAACCCCTAAGTTAATTTTATTAATATTTGCAAGATAATTAAAAAGCACGAGGAATTCACTCGCAGAGGATAAAAGAAAAGAAAAAAAAATTCAGTCAGCAAAAGAAATTCGAGGGTGTTCAAATTTCCCGCTGACTTCAACGAAATCAAACGCGTGAGAAAGATCGAAAATTTCTTCCTCGCCAAAGCTCAAGTTATACGGCGGAGGAAACGGGTTTCAACTCCACGTGCCATTCCAAAAAAAAATTCCAGAGCTAACACGTTTATATATATATATATATATATATAAAAAATACGTATCAATAAAATTAAGAAAGGACACAATGATTTATCGGCAACTAATCGAAGGCACAAAACCACGCTCTGCTACCATTTGTTACGTGACAGTTTTATTGTTTTTTCTTACCTAGCTAAGCACGCTGACCGCAGCATGCTGCGGCACAGCGTGAATCAGCCTCTGCCGTTCATTCCCACCGAGTCGCGCACACGAATACTGCTAGCTATGAGTCAAGCTTTCTCAAGTGAGCCAGTAAAAATCAACTGTTCGAATTCCTCATATGTTTTGACAGATTGTTGAAGCCTTGTATGTGAAAATTAATGTCCTGAAGTATCATTTGAAAATATCAACTTTTTGAAAAGTTATAAACAAATGAATTTTCTATCTACTTTTTTTTTTAATTTTCAGATCTCCGAAAGTATTTTATGAAAATCAACGAAATTTTAATGGTAGGTTTGGAAAGAGTTGCATAATCGGAAAAAAATTATTTACACCAAAAAAATTTATTTTACTAATAAATAATTGATTTTACAATAAACAATCGCTAATTTAATTAACTTCTCCTTCCGTTAAATAACATTTTTTTATACGCTCTCATTCTGTGAAATATACTTTAATCGTTCGTGCAAAAATATTTTAGTGCTCTCGGTCTGACAAAAAAATACAAATATTTAAACATTACTGTGAACGCGCGAAACTGCAGCCGAGGCGCGAGGCCAGAGCACACAGCGCCGATCAAACGCGCGCTCTCACCGTAACTGGAGTTTTTATGATTTCAGTTACGTACTAATTTTTATTTATTTTGCAGCGACGATTTTTTTTATTACTTTTACAATTGTAGATTCTGAGTCCTTTGAGAAAATTTTACATTCTAATGTATTCAAATCAAATGGTTTGTAGCAATGAAACTTGCGTGTTCCAACGATAGTCTTAGCTGTAGCAAAACGTTTCTCTAGTACTTTTTCGTGATTCTTGTATTCAGCTAACGTGCAAAAATCAAAATCAATTTTCTTGAAGAAATCTTTTGCCCATTCAAACAGTTGTTGTGTCGAGACTATAGTTTTATCCTGTACATTATCACGGTAAGCATTTCTTTTTACACAACCACCAATGCCATCACAAGCTCCTTTTCCATGAGCAGTACAAAAGAAGTGCCATTCTGCCTTGATTTTAAAGTCTTTTACGTGGTTTAACAGATTCAAAAAATTGAATCTATTTTTGTACTGCGATCCCGCTCCGTCAGAAAAATAAATGAGCTTTTTCACGTTTCGCTTGCCAAATTTTCTTATCAAAAATTTAATCATTTTGGAATTGTAAAGATGTACCCCAGTGGCATCATGATTTTCATACTCCGAAAAAACAACGAAATTAAGATGGTGCACAACGTTATTTTTCTTGTAATATATTACATACACGTGCAGTGATGCTTGATCCTTGGACCAATGTTGAGATTGGATGGCATTTTGTACATGAAAAGAATAATTCTCAGAAAAATCGAGAGTGACTAAAAATTCGCCATGGGCGAGTGACTCTTTTACTTCATTCAAATATTTTGCTTGTGCTCCAGCAATAAAATCATGTTTCAAAATATCTGGTAATTCTGTAGCCATGTTTTTTATATAACTATCTCGAAAAATAAGCGAGAATTTCATACGTTAATTGAAATACACAATACCTATCAGTTGTAAGCCACTGATAGAAAGAAATATTTGTAATATTGTATCTACTTAGAGTTTCTTTCAATTCATCAAAAATTCTGTGTGTGCCAGGACAACTTTGACACTTTGATAAATAGCAATCTGCAGTTGGATTTGAACAAATCATAGCTTTCAAGTAATCTCGATAGGTAGTTTGAAAAGTAAACTTTTTACGAGCAAATTCTTCTTTAAGACCCCTCAGCTTAAGACGGATGTTCCCATGCACTTTACATACACACGTTATGTGTACCTTTCGCGCCAACGGGAATGCATTGCTGAGGCCTCAAAGCTTTAAAAACAGCCAGAGAAATTTTCAGATTTGGGTACTTTTGTAAAAATCATTATGTAAACTACAAAGATCCCCCAGCAGCAATCGTTTCTATTAAAGAAAATGTATTTACTTAGCTCAAATATTAAATTATAATTTATTAAATGATTTTTATCGATAGAATTATTAATAATAATTTTATCAACACGATTAAAAAAAAATACGGTGTTATAGTAAAAAAAATATCAACAAATGCTTACAGTTTCGTGCGTACGTTTTCCATCGATTTTGACAGACTTGAAATTTTTTACTCCCGGCATAACTCGACTAACTTCGTCAGATAAATAAAATTCTTCAACTTTTTTTATCAGGTCAGGATTCACAGCTCGTCCTTTTTTTTGAATGGGCTGTGCACAGTATCCTCCTTCATTACGTAACTTTTTCGATGAGCTTACCATACGCCTACTTAGGCCAAATTCTCTTACTATTTTTCGAATTGGCCAATCCACTGGCATCGTTGTTAAGACAATAATTTTCTCTTTTCGCGTTGGTGCACGCGACAATGCTAATTTAAAATCACTAATCCAACGATTGCAATTGACATCAGCATGAGAACTCAAAGTGTTTGTACCAATAGACTTGCGCAGAATATCACTGTCACAATCACATAAATTCAAGTGCATTTTTTTTGCAGGAGGAGCTGTAATCACTTCATGAATAGCAGCTGCAAGCCTTAGTTTTTGGTTTTCATTGTCAACTTGTTTACAAACATAGTCTGGATCTTTAGCAGGATTATTTGATTCCACTTCTCCTTCACTTTCATTATTCTCGTCTATTTGCTCAGTCTCCTTTTCTTTTTCTGCTTGAGCTTGATTTTGAGAAATTTCGTTTTCTTTTGTAAACTGAAAAGAACCTAGATTTTTATACAACCGCCTTTTACACGAAACGCAAACAAATAATCCAAATAAACCACTGAGTTTCTTATCATGCTTATCTGATAGTAAAAATAGTTTATTTTTCACACTATTATGTCCTGCTTTATTAAAAGGATTACAACACTTTGGTGGTGGTGTCATGATGATTACAAGCAGACTGAGCGAAACAATGAGTGCAAGGTTCACGTCTGTTATACACGATGCTCAGTTGTTTACGCGAGCGTTATTTCTCCTCGAGGCAAGAATTAGAAATCTTAAGAATTCAAAAAAACCGTTTAGTCGTTGCAATTCGGATAATACATTGCCCCAAAGTTATTTGAAATAAGAAATATTCGCGTATATAAGTTGTATTGTTTTTCTATTGAATTGAAACGTTAGTATTGACATAAATTATTTGATTCGTCACTTTAAGAGTTTAGATTTTTTTTTGGGGTGAAAGTAATAAAAAAATTGTTTTAAATAAATAATAGTCAATAAGATTAATAATTTAGACGTTGTGTAGAACATTCATAAAATATGTATTTGAGAACGTAAGCTTATAAAATATAGGGAAGAGCGCGCGTTTCATCGGCTCTGTGCTCTGACCTCGCGCCTCGGCTGCAGTTTCGCGCGTTCACGGTAATGTTTAAGTATTCGTATTTTTTGTCAGACGGAGAGCACTAAAGTATTTTTGCACAAATGATTAGAGTATATTTTACAGAATGAGAGCGTATAAGAAAATGTTGTGTAACGGAAGGAGAAGTTTATTGAATTAGCGATTGTTTATTGTAAAATCAATTATTTATTAGTAAAATAAATTTTTTTGGTGTGAATAATTTTTTTTCCAATTATGCAACTCTTTCTAAACCTACCATTAAAATTTCGTTGATTTTCATAAAATACTTTCGGAGATATGAAAATTATAAAAAAAAGTACATAGAAAATTCATTTGTTTATAACTTTTCGAAAAGTTGATATTTTCAAATGATACTTCAGGACATTAATTTTCACATACAAGGCTTCAACAATCTGCCAAAAGATATGAGGAATTCGAACAGTTGATTTTTATTGGCTCACTTGAGAAAGCTTGACTCTATACTATATCCGAACGGAAATCTCGAGAGCGAAATATTATTCGACAAAATACAATTATAATACAATGAAACGTCACGTAACAGGAAATAATCATCAAACTTATTTATTCAGTCCTGCCTTGATCCTCTCATTATCATACACACCCCTCGTGTTTATTAGAAGAACTTTTAAGTTTGATGATTATTTCCAAACAAGCTTCCTCATAGACGCAGCACATCGCTTGAAACTCATTCTCAACGGTGTACGGATGTTCCTCTGATTCAGAGCGCAAGGTGATATCGTGGTGCGTGCATGCAGCAAAAGTGTGCCCGAAGATGATTGCCCAGTTCTCCGCGCCACCGCCTTGGTAAACGTCGTAAGCCCCGATGGCAGAGAAATCGGTGATCGGGCACTCCTAGACCAGGGTTCTGAGGCGACCTTCGTGTCCGAGTCGTTTGTTCAACTGCTTGGACTATCGAAGGATCGTATACACACTAATCTAATCGGCGTGGGAGGCTGCGCGGCTGGATCCGTAAAGTCCGCAACTCGCTTCACATTACGATCACGATCGGACGCGAGCTTTCAAAAGCAGGTCAACGCGTTTATCTTACCGCGACTTACCTTTGATTTGCCATCGCGCGTCTCTACGAAACAGGACCTCACGCAGCTCGAGGTTTTGCCTTTGGCCGATCCTTCCTTTTATACGCCGGGTCGGATCGATCTGATGATCGGAGCCGACCTCTACGGCCAGCTACTGCGCCCAGGCCTCAAGCAGGTTTCGAGCTCGGGCTTGGTCGTGCAAAACACTGCGCTCGGGTGGATAATATCGGGCCCTACCTATACACCCTCGGCACGGTGGGCGGTACACACGAACTACACGTCGATCAAAGTCCTTCGGTGCGTAGTCAACAACGACCTGAGCGAGCTGCTCCAACGCTTCTGGACGCTTGAGGAAGTGCCGGCCGTCACCGATTCGCTAAAACCGGACGATGAAGCGTGCGAAAAGCTTTTCACTGAAACGCATAAGCGAGGAAGCGACGGTCATTACCAGGTACGTCTTCAGCGAGTAGGAGAGATACCGCGCGTCGGTATGGAAACGCAGTGTATGGCCTTGCTCTCGTTGACTCATCAGCACAAGCGTTTGGCTTGTGACCCGCAGCTCAACCGCGCGTACACGGAATTCATGCAGGCCTACTATGAACTCGGTCACATGGAGTGGGTCCCAGACCATGAGAGAAACAATCCCTATGCGTGGTACCTGCCTCACCACGCGGTCAAGCAGGCTACCACGATACGGCCGAAAATACGCGTTGTTTTTGATGCGTCGCGCCAAACTCGAGACAAGCACAGCTTGAATGACTTTCTCATGGCCGGACCCCCGCTTCAAAGTGACCTCGATCTTACTTTGCTCAATTGGCGCAGATATCGCTATGGCTTTACTGCCGACATAGTGAAAATGTTTCGGCAAAGTCGTGTAGCGCGCGAAGACCAGGACCTCCAGCGCATCATATGGTCTCCTGTCGCCGAGTCACCTCCCATTCACTATAGACTGACGATGGTAACCTACGGTACCTCCTGCGCGCCATACTTAGCCATTCGTACTCTCCAACATCTAGCTCGCGACGAAGGGAAACGCTTCCCACTCGGCACGGCCTGTCTCGAATCAGAGACGTACGTCGATGATACTTTCTCCGGCGCTGACGATCTCACAAGCGCCATGCAGAAACGCGACGAATTGATAGCCATTCTGAAATCGGCCGGCGTCGAGTTGAATAAATGGACGGCGACGCACCCCGAGCTACTGCCTTCAAGCATGACGCAAGGCAACGGCTGCGCGTCGAAGGAAATCGACAGCGAAAAGGCAGTGAAAACACTCGGTGTGCACTGGTCGCCTTCGCCGGATTGCTTTAGCTTCACCGCCGGTGAGATTGAGTGTCATCGCGAAAACTTGACGAAGCGAACTATCTCCTCCGACATCGCGCGCTTGTTCGATCCGCTAGGCTGGCTCGCGCCAATCACCATGACCGCAAAGACCATCCTGCAAGATTTGTGGCTCGAGAAGGTAGACTGGGACGCCCGCGTGAAGTCTTTGAGAGATGGCTTACCTACTGCCGCTCCTTAGGCCTTCTCTCGTCGTTATCGATGCCTCGTTAGTTAGGCCTCTCGCAGCGCAAGTCATACGAGGTACATGGCTTTTTGGATGCCTCCAAACGCGCGTACGCCGCCGCTGTCTACCTGCGGATTGATAACGGTTACGGTACCTTTACCGTTTCGCTGCTCGCGGCTAAAACAAAGGTCGGGCCCGTGAAAACCGTTAGCATACCTAACCTTGAGTTGCTCGTCCGTCATCTGCAAAGGTTCGAGTTCGTTAGGTCCGCGCCGGTGCGCCTATGGTCCAACAGCCGAATCGTCCTCATGTGGCTCAAAAAACATCCGTGCCACTGGAGGTCGTTCGTCGCCAATCGCGTTTCGCTCATACAGACCGAGCTACCTTCTGTGACGTGGGATCATGTACCCACGAAACAGAACCCGGCCGATATAGCATCTCGTGGCGCTACCCCCATCGAACTAAAGTTGCTCGATCTATGGTGGCAAGGTCCACCCTGGCTCGCTTCTCACTCACAAACATGGCCTCAGCCGCTAGAAACCGTGCAAGTCCTGCACACAAAGCCGAGAAATGACGAACCAGAGGTGTTGTCGCGATACTCGACCTTAACCAGATTGACACGCGTGATAGCTTGGTGTTTACAATACATGCGGTGCAAGGCGCAAGAGGGTTTGTACACTCCGTTCCTCTCGACGGCAGAGCTCGACAACGCCCGGCAGGTAATCCTGAAGCTTGCTCAGTCGCATGCATTCGCCCGTGAGATCGAGCTTTTACGGAACGGTAAGGGCCTACCCAAATGGCACGCTTTGCACTCATTGAGGCCGTTTCTCGATAGCGATGGTGTCTTGCGGGTCGGAGGCCGCTTAAGTAACGCGCCGTTACCCTCTCACGTGCGAAATCCGCCGATTCTACCACGTCAATCGGCCCTCAGTCGACTATTCGTCACTCATGCCCACTGTAAAGCCCTACATGGTGGACCTACTCTGACCACAAGTGTTCTGTTGCGATTCGCGTGGATCATCGGTATGCGTGCGCTTATCAAGTCCACGATTCGCAAATGCGTAAAGTGCCAATGTTATAAATCCCGCTTGGCCTATCAACTAATGGGCAACCTGCCAGCCGAGCGAGTGACGCCTGCTCGCCCTTTCACCACCACCGGCTTGGACTACGCCGGACCGTTTCAAGTGCGTACCTCCAAAGGCCGCGGTTAACGCGCTTACAAAAGATATATCGCCCTATTTGTTTGTTTCGCCACCAAGGCGATACATCTGGAAGTGGTGAGCGACCTAACAACAGCAACCTTCATTGCAGCCTTCCGCCGTTTCGTCAGCCGACGAGGGCTATTCAAGCAGCTCGTCAGCGACAATGCAACGACCTTCCGAGGCGCGGATGCCGAGCTGTGGGCTATGTTCCGTGCAGGTTCCACTTTTTTCCAAGAAGTCGCTTCCACCTTAGCCAACGACGGTATCACGTGGACTTTCAAACCGCCCAACCATACCCCACTACGGAGGGTTATGGGAAGCGGGCGTGAAGTTCACCAAACACTTGCTCAAGCGCTTCGTTGGCGAGCACACGCTCACCTTTGAAGAACTTTCGACCGTGCTTGCTGAAATTGAGTCATGCCTCAACTCTCGTCCGCTCTGTCCGCTTACTTCGGACCCAGAAGATCTGCAAGCCTTGACGCCGTCACATTTCCTCATTGACGCCACATCGGGCCTCACTCTTGACGAGGAGACACCGACTGTACCGATAAACCGACTTAGCCGCTTCCAGCTTCTCCAACGTATTCGCGATCAGTTTTGGAAGCGTTGGACCAGCGAGTACATGCTCTTACTTCAGGAAAGAACCAAATGGATGCATACGACATCGAATTTCGCCGTTGGACAACTGGTTTTCTTGAAGGACGACCGATATCCAGCTTTCAAGTGGCCTCTCGGTCGTGTACAGGAGACACACGCTGTTCGAGTAGTCACGGTGAAGACGGCCAATAACACCCTCAGACGTCACGTTGCCTGTCTCGCACCGTTAATGCTGGATCAGTCGAAGAATCAAGAGGATTCGGCCAAGCGGGAAGAGTCGACGTGTAAGAATTAAACTACAATACAGGGTTCGTCCATCAGGACGAAGGCGAGCGGAATGTTCGCGGCATTTGCGATGGTTGACAGCGAAATCGTCCGGGTTCCTCCAAGGTGCACCTTCGAGCATGTGCGGCCCATATGAACGCGCGTTTAACGCAGTCGGTCGGCACGTCTGTCGACTATCTGGGTTACAGCTGCGAGCGATGTCGAGACGATAACATTTGCGGGACAACAGATCGTATCAGCGCGTCATCATCGACACGTGGTCGCCTGTGCCGACCACCTGCTGAGCGTCGCACGCAACCCGAAATGCGATGCTCTTGTTTTGCTCTCTCTCTCTCTTTCTCTCTCACTCTCTCTCGTCTTCTGTCGTTTCGCGGGCCTATGGCCCGCCCGTTTCTCTTGAGAAAACTGCGGAGAGGGGGAGATTTATATCACGACCGAGCCGAGCACTGCCCGAGAGTTTTTCCTTAGTCTAGCTCAGTCACTCCCGTAGAACTTGCCTTCCACTAAAGAGCGCTAGTTCTTTACGTGCGTGACTGTGTGTGTATGCGCTTCGACGAGTCTGGCGTGCGACAAACTGCGATAGGAGTGAGCCACCGCACAACGTGCCAGTAACGGTGCACGACAGGGCCACGGATAGGGCGACCTGCTGCCGTAGGTGAGGGTGCTTACAGCCTTCAGGGGTGCTTTCAACCTCGCGGCACTGTGCCCACTCAACAACTCGGGCGGCGCCGTAGCAAGAGCTGTCCCCGTCCCCGAGACGTCGGGGCTACGTCGTGCCTCGACCACCAGAAGCACACTCTCCTCCCTATCTCTCAGCCTCACTGGTGCGTCGGATGAGCTGGTGCAGGTTGACTGGCCATCAACCTGCAAGTGTGAGTAACAAACCCTTGTAAAGGCGAGCGCTGCCTCCGTGTCGACGATTCCTGTACCACTCGGATAATTGTACGCAAAATAAAATTTCGCCGTATCTAAGAGGCTTTTCTCCACTTACGACTGGGGTTTTTATGCCGAATAGATACGACTTAGCTTAAGATAATTGTAAACTGCGTATTTATTCAGTCCTGCCTTGATCCTCTCATTATCATACACACCCCTTGTGTTTATTAGAAGAACTCTTAAGTTTGATGATTATTTCCAAACACTTATTATCAAAATCTTTTCCGAATCAATATGAAAAAATACTTTTTTTTGTTTATTATGTTTGCAATTATTAAGACAATTTTTTTGAATGTCCCGCCACACATTAATATTTTCATCAATAATTTGCTGGAACGTATAAAAGAAGTTGGAGATTTGTACCCCCTACTTCGTTGTGTATACGAGTAGTGTCACGTAGTCCGCGCCTTCAGCATTCATGCCTCAGGGTACTGTCGCGCCCCTTGATAAAAACATATTTCATACATTTTTTCGACTAACATTGTGATGGAGAATCACGGCTCCGCCGATATTCTTACGTCGGCTCTTGAATCCCTCCGTTCGCCGCTTTCAAGCGAAACCATCCCTTTATAATAATTTGTGCGGACGCCCGCGCGTAAAAATCTACTTTGATTGTCGATCGCAATTCTCCGTTACATCATAAAAAATTAAATTTTATTATGATCTTTTTTCACTCACAGTCAGTCTTTGATTCTCGATATCCGAATCCGAGTCATCGTCTGATTTTCCAGAAACATCGTCGAAAATTGTCTTTAGTGTTTAATAAATGAGCATGACTTGTAATAATTTTGCCTTCTCTCTTCTTTCTCTCCAGCTTCCGCTTTTCTTTTAGAAAAGCTTTCTCTGTTTCAGCAATAGTTTTGTCTGTCCTGTTGTATTTCGTCAACACTTCATCTTCAGTAGAAACATGCACCATACTCAAGTATTTTTCATCAGCTGAAAAAATATCAAAATAAAATAACTTGAATGATACATTTTTTTCAAGTAGTTGGAAAGAAGACGTTAAAATAGCTATATATGAATATATGAAAGAGACTGTCTGTATATGACAGTCTCTTTATGAAAATTTCATTATTCTTCTCCTCAGAAAAGCTCACGTAAAATTAATTCAAAATATAATTTAATTCTTTGAAATTCATAGGTTTATTTTAACCTCTCATAGTTTAGCTTAATTAATACTAACCTCTTTTCTTCACGATGTTTGCTTTATAAAACTTTCTATCTTCAGTAGGTAAACTAGAAGGGCATCAACTCAGAGGGGTATCAGCTCACTGAGTTGAAGCGTGTGAGTTGAGGTGTGTGCATGTTCAGCTCACCCCCCCCCCCTGCTGATCGGCCCGTGCGCTGTCGACTCACCCCCCCTCCCCCTCCTACTAAGTTATACCGGTGCGTTCTACGCACTCCCCCCCCTCCCCTACTAAGTTGATCTGATGTGGCTTGATCTGATGTGGCATGCGTTCTCTGCATTTCCCCCTCTCCCACTAATTTGATTCCTATGCACTGCACGCGCGTTCTGTGTTACGCGTTTTGATTGTTTTATTGTGCGTGTGCGTGCGCGTGATTGATGTGTGGGGGGCGGCGGCGCCGGCGGCTGCTGCTGCTGCTGCTGCTGCTGGGGAGGGCCCAAGCGCTAATACAATAAATTTTAATAAATATTATACATAGATTATATAGATATATTATCAATGTGTGTGTGTGTGTGTGTGTGTGTCTGATCGCTGAAATAAGAAAAGATATATTATTAATAATTATTTATAAAAAAAGACATTATTATTAATAATTATTTATTATATAACAAAATATAAAAAAACTACAAAAAAAATACAAAAAATGTATAAAAATTTATAAAAAAACTGTCGCTTAGTTATCGTCAAAAAATTTTGCAATTTTATACCGCGGGTCGCCGTCGACGGTTTCTTCCGTGACGCGCAGGCGCTTTTTCCCCGTGATACGGAGACTCTGCATGAGTGCCGTTGTGGGTAATTCCGCGGGCGATCGAGAAGGCTGCCTACTCAACGGAGCTAGTGACGGCGACCGAGAAGGCTGGCGCACAGCGGGGGAATCTTCGGGACTGCACGACCTCGATGCGAATAATCTTTGCACCACGTGTCTGACCGGCCCGTTCCGATCGACGTGCCGCCTGTTGCCGCACTGCGGTGGTGATTCCACCCACTGCGGCTGCCGACTGCAGCGACCAGCGGCGCAGTGTGCGCACTCCCAGCCCTCGCATACTGGCATGGTGTTGTTGTGATCGCCGACCTGCAACAAAAAAAATGAAAAAAACTTAGAATATACTACTGCCGATTAAAAAAAAAGAAAAGAGAAAAAAAGAATCATACATGTTCTCGTTGGCGGCAGGACGTCTCTTGTATCTCTGGTGGTGAAACTAAGTTCACCAAGAGCGGCTGTTGTGGCGTTGTGATGTTGATGATCACGGGTGCTCCTCGAGGCGTCACCAGGTCGACGCATGTCACGCGTCGTGATGGTGGTGGTGGTGGTGGTGGTCGACGCGAGACAATCACCTCGCAGACCATCTCCACGTCGTCGTCATCGTCATCAGACCTGCAAAAAAAAAAAAAGATTCTTTATTTTGAAAAAAATCATTTCATATATCTATCTGTATAATAAATATTCAACTTACACATTCACCGTTGAAGACGAACGGGAGCATGGAGACGGTGGCGGTAATTCGAGTGGCGCTGTCCGATGCCTGCTGTAATCGGAAACACTTGTCTTTATACCATGCCGATAACGCGACTACGACGACGAAAACCGGACATCGCAAAATAAGAAATTTTAAGTACGTGAGAGAAAAGAATGTTAAATTTAAAATTGGAGTATATACTCTATCTCTCTCTCATATACACACGTACATACATATTATATAACGAATAATACTTTTATATTAATAAATTGATAAATTATCTATATAAAATTTTATCAATTTATTAATACAATATTATTAGATATATAATTGTGTTATTAGTATACAGAAAAAAAGAACAGAACCTCTTTTTTTAATTTAAGAACATATATGCTCTTATTATTTTTAAAAAATTTATGTATAACTAATACCATTATATTAATAAATTAATAAAATTTAAATATAATTGTGTTATTAGTATAATGGTATTAATTATAAAAAACAGAATGAGAGAGAGAGGGTAAAAGAGAATGAAAAAAAAAAATGTACTTACAATATTGAAGGTGGAGGTGTCAGCGGCATCCGAATGGTTGCCGCTTCGTGAATGTCGTCGTCGTCGTTCCTCGTCCTCGGCGAAGATGTTCGCGGCTGCTCGACGACGACTTCGTCCACCGCTGCTTCTTGTCCCGATAAATCAATCAATCCGAAGACTTCATCTTCGGAAAGATCTATGTCCTCGCCCAACGCCTCGATTGCTTCATTCAGTGCGTCTTGCCACGACGCATCGTCCAACGAAAACAAATTTTCCAACCGTTCATCACTCATTTTACTTCACTAAACTTGACACTAAACTAAACTTGACTAAACACTTCACTTAACTCCACGACAAAAAAATCACAATAACGTATCGTTGCAAGGCGTTCGAATTTTTATTCATCTTTTGAAACACTAGCCGCGTTTCGGTCATTGGTCGAAGATTTGGGAGTAGGGATGCGAGACTACGCGACAGCACTGATTTTGTCGCACGCATAAGACGATCATAATTAGTGGTGGGAGTAGCTAATGAAAATGTGATTAGTGCGGAGAAGAGACGCCAATGTGTATTAATATAGGATCGCGATAGCGCGTACGCTCTTTATTTCTCACGCAACGGACGAAGAGTAGGTGGTGGCAAGCCGTTGGTAGTGACAAGTTGCAGCGAACGAATGATCGGCCCTTTTCTGGGCCACTTTTTTTTTTTCAAGTTGACGAAGCTGTACAATCCCGACAGTTAATCGATATCATGATCAATTTAAAACAGCACGTTTCAGTGCTAAATTTTCAATAAAAAAAAATTTATATTATTTTTCTATAAATCAGCACTTTTAAGTGCTATTCAAACGTATGTGCAAATATATCAGTGCTAAATTTTCAATAAAAATCTTATATTA